AACATGAAACTTTCAAAAAGTGTCCACACTTTTGGCCACCACTGTATATATATATATATATATATATATACTGTAGTACAAAATTTTGCTGCAGTGTTATCGATATAATATCAGGAAGCACTTTTGTGGCTATAACCGCATGGATTGAGAGAGAGAGAGAGAGATTTACTTGGTTATTTCATTTTTAATTTTATAAATTTAAAAAAAATTCAAATTATTAAAATTTATTATTTTTTCGAAAACTATTTCATTGTTTTTTATTAAACTTTTCGAGTTCATTTCGATATATGGAGGTTAAACACACTTTACACATTCATTTTTGACCGTTTATTTTTGAATCGTGAAATGGTTATTTGGAGTTATTCTATTGATATTGAATGTGTTTTAAGTTAAGTAGAAATAGGTTTACTACACAAATTCTGAATAAAATTTCAAAATTTTAGAATAATTTACCTTTATGAATTTATCTTTATGTCCATGTTCATATTTGAATAAGAGTAGCACAAATAAAAAGCAGACACACATGATTACGTCAACATGCAGCTCAACTTTTCAAGTTTACAATTAAAAGAGTGCACTGCAGGTTGTGTATAGCTGATTATGCAGCTCTAATGAGAGCATTTTAAGTAAATGTAAAATCTTGCTAAGATGAATGCGTGCAGATCAGAAAAATGAGCGTTATACAAACACTCATTGTTTAAGATTCACTGTTTATGGTGAACACAGTCAAGGACTAATGCCAATGAACTAATGATAAAGAATTTCAGGAATTCAATATCAAATCTCTTGAGACACAAATCAAGCAAACTAAATGATTTTCCATTGCTCTCATTGCTACTGTTAAGTAAGTTGAAGATTTATGACACCAGTCTCACATGAGTAAAGGAATAGTGCAATCCACGTCTGTACTGGTGCATCTTTTTTATCTTAACTTTACATTCACTCCAAATACTCTTTCGCGAGCTCGTCAATCAATTATATTCAATTTACAATCCCATCTTATTACCTACCTTTATTACCCAGAATGGGGATATTACTATTGCTAGTAATTAGAGTAATACATTATAATTGTAAGCCTCTTTTGAACGGGGATTAAACTGGAATCAATTATTATGACCCTTGTATGGAAAGAGTTAATTTCAAATTCAATATCATAGAAAGTCATTTCTTCATTCTTCCATCTTATTTTAAAAACCAAACAAAAAGGCACAAGAAATGGAACAAGAAACTAAAAACAATACATTCATACCACTTTAAGACTCTTTATCTTATATAAACAAAGGTAAAGTTAAGCCTTTATTCAATAAAAGGTTTTGAATTATTAACAGAAATGTATGATAATGCAGTTTTAATTACGAAAAATAGTTTTCAACAAATACTGTCATCTTCAATAAAAAAAAATGAATACAAATTTATGAGACTAAATATATTTCTCTTCTGTTGGCATACGTATAGAATACAAGCTTTCATCTTTATTCTAATGTCAGGCATTAAAAGCGTAAGGTTGAAGACCTCTACAGCCATGGTCAGTAACAGCAAATATTGCTCCTGCATCTGGAGAGGATTTTCGGACTTCTTCTGTACGAGCTGCAGTTGTTACGTATAGGATGTCCAAGTTAGGTCCACCAAAACAGCAAGAGGTAACCTGTTTAGCTGGTAAATCAACTCTTCTCAGAATTGTTTCTAAAAATATAATTTATTCCAAGATTATTAGAAACAAATTGTTACAAAGTAATAGAAAGAATTCTTATCAATTTAACACTGTAAAAGTAAAGCATTCCTTCAAAAATACGCTGTGGACCAAGGGTATCATGATGTTAAGTCTCCGCAATTCCGTAACGAACAGCATGATTGAATTGAACATAATTTAATTAAATGTAGGGTTTAATGGGGCACAAGTTCCACAAAAGGACATGCTGCGCCAAACAAACGATTTCAAATTCAGAGGCATGATAGAAGCGATGCACACAAATCACATTTACTTTGCAGTAATTTTAATGCTCGGTTTTTTTAGCATCAAGATATTTAAGTATGTTCTTTAAATTCTTTTGTTATGAATTCGCTTCTGTAGGTGAGTGATACGTAAACTTTAGGCCAAAGAACCATATTTATAGCTATATCATGCCTCAATGTTGGCTAATATCAATATCACTTACTCAGAATGCGGTTATATTTTATTCTATATAGTTTTGAGATAATATCTAATTTTAAGGCTTTGTGTCGATTACATGTCAACTGAATACAATTTTCCATGAGGATGTTTTGTGAATCCAATCACAATATTCGGTTATTTAAATGTTGAAATCATATATCCTTGTTAGATTTAATCAGTTTTTTTTTATATAAACTTAGTTTTTAAATGTAGAATCGATTTTTTTTTGTTAATCGTATCTCACTATTAATGAATGAAAAGAACATTAAATCACACATTTGAACAAAAAGTTCTGTAACACGTTTTATAAAATTTGCTTTTTTCAACAATTTTCGTAACTTTTTCCGTCGTGTTGAAAAAGAATTGTCCCCTTAATTTTAACCATGGAAAATTGCTAGTCCATGAATGTTTTTTATCATATTTATGCTTAAAAAATCAAAGGTAAGAGGCCAGAAGAATAAAGTCAAATTTTACTGAACAACTAACATTATTTCTTTCTTGCTTTTGTAAAGGTATACCAAAACGTACTAAAAATATATTAGTTTTATAAAAGATAAGCTGTTTAAAACTGTAGTATACTTACTTGTTGTTGGATCTATGCGAAGAACACATCCACCTCCATAGAAGCATACCCAGAGTTTATTTTCTGTATCTATTGTCATACCATCTGGTAAACCAAGGTTTTCAAAACCTTTTTCTTTGTTGCAATCAATTAATATTCTTTTGTTAGCTGAAAAGTTTAAGAGAATGAGTAAATACTAAATTTCAGAATGTTATCTTGAAAAAAGAGGAAGAAAGGATAATAAAGTACTTTTTTTTTCTACGTCTCTTTTTGTTTAAAATACACACATAAACCATTCATAGATATTTTCATGTAAAAAAAATAATTTTTAATTTTAATTTTCTTGCCCCATTTTGTGGAAATAGCTCATTTGTATTTTATTATCCTTTTTCTTAACTGATATATTGAAATTAAAACCTACATATTAATCCCTCTTCTAAGTTAAAATCATAGGCGTATATTGTTCGACAGTCTGAGTCTATGTAGTACATAGTATCGTTATTCGAAGTCCATGCCAATCCATTAGAAATAGAAATTCCATCATCAACTTGCGTCATTTTATATATGTTGTCCATCTTAAACAGATGCCCTTCTTTATGTAATGTTCCAATAACACCTGTTATCATTGTACCTATATAAATAAAAAAAGCTGTTTAATATTAATTACTAAAAGAATCAAGTGATTCTCAAAAATAGCTTATTTTTAGCCAGTAATCTGTGCAATTTTTTATTTCGTGTTGAATATAAAAATTTAAATTCTTAAAAATTTGAAGAAAAAAAAATTACACATTGTATTATATACAGCGAAAATACAATAAATTAGTCAATAAATGATTACTGATAATTACTTTTGATGATGTTATATATTAATTGTGCTCAGAATGATGTTATATATCATTATGATGTTACATATTAATTGTGCTCAGAATGATGTTATATATCATTATGATGTTATATATTAATTGTGCTCATGGTGTTACACCTAATCATTTTTTTTTAAAGTATACGCTGATAGACCATATATTTATGACTGATTAACAGTTTTATGCAAGTGAATTGTTATTCACAGTTTCGCCGCAAGAGAGTAAAATTCAAAAACAGTTATTTTTTTTATTTTTTTAGGTATTACATTTTTAATAGGTTTTTTTTTCGTACAGAAAATGAAATCAACAAGAAAAATCGCTCAAGGAAAGTGAAAAAATTAATTTAAGTTTTGTTGAGATATTTTTAAAAAATAATTTTTTCAATAGAACACTTTAAATATAATATAATAGTAAACATGATTAAGCATAATTATAGCTTAACTTAATTAACTTAAGCATAATTATAACTTAGTAAGAAATGGTTTAATAAAATGTTGAAAACTTACCAGTCCAAAGTCTTCCTTTAGCATCGCACTTGCCATCATTAATACGAAATTTAGGATCATTGTAATTAACTTTGGTCAGAAACTCTGTGTTACCAGCATTGAAATTCAGCTTCTTGATTTCTTGTGTCGAAGAAATAAGGAGATTTGATGGATCAGATTGATAAGGGATAGCAAAACTAATAATACCCTCTAAAATTAAAAAGAAAACATGCACAAATTTTGCGATTTAATTATAAATAAATTTTATTTTTCAATCATCGGTAAATATCGCATAAGCGAATGCTAAAATCAAATTGCGTGCGTGAATGCAGCACCATTAAGAATAGATAAGCAAATATTTATTTTATTAGACTCCTTCTCTCATTCATTAATTCGCCTATCTCTTGATTCGCCTATCCACTGATACGCCCAGTTAATACACTGACTAGCAGACTAATTCCCCAATTTTTTAAAAATATTGACTCGCTTTATTTCTACCCTTACTTAAACATTATATCACGAAGTATTTATAGTATAGGTTATCATAGTCACGCATACTAGTAATGTCTATACACATTTCTCTTAAGTACACCAGAAACTCGGGTATTTCTCTGTCTATTGGCAACGCTACAGTTATTATTAATTTTTTTTATTTCAGGTTGACTTAAGTAATAATTTAAGTAGTACTGAATATTTAATTATTATGTATTTAATTATTATGTATTTATTTAGAATATTTTTTTTATTTTTACAAAAAAGAAACTTATTTATGAAGTGTATATTTATATTTCTTTTTTATCCTTCCTAAAATAAAAGTACAAATTTTAAATATAAACAGTGGTACATATTACCATACCAATAATTAGTGACGGAACAATGAGCAATGACATATAGATGTTATACGATACTCAAGTTATGGCTCGAGAGATGCGTGAGGAAGTAGTACTGCACGTAAAGCAGTATTTTGATGAGTTTTGTATCTTATCTAACCACAGAGGTGGAAATAATTTTAAAACTTCTGCTGTATACTATGCTTACATGTCCCGAACTTATACTTACAGTAATTTGTATGATTTCCTGGCTACCGGACAGATTTTAAATTATTACTAAAATTCAATGCGTAATGAGCTTTGACAATAAGGCGGGCATCTCTTGAAAACAGCTAAAATTGAAATCAAAGTACTTCCGCTCTGGCAACAGCTAGACTGTAAAAAAATTTGAACAATATATTGCTTAAAACCAAATAAGATGGTGGAGGTTTTGACAAATTAGAATATTAAAATACAGTTCTGTTGCACATTCGGCTTGGTTACCATTAAAAGTTTATAGTTAATGATAATTTTGAAAGACGACTACGCTGGTAGCCAAATGCGGCTAGTACTTTTAATTCTAAATAAATTTAAAATTAAATGTGCGTACAAGAAACAAATTAAACACATACGTTTCAAGTCGTTGTGGCTCAGGGGATAGAGCACTCGCCTCCAAATATAGTGACTTGGGTTCAAATCCGATGGCTAGTTGATAGGGATTTCGCACCCGACCTGCAACGACCATAGTGCAGACGCAAAATATCCTCAGTGGTTAACGGATCGTGGGTTAGAGTCCTGTTTATTGGAGGCTAAACTAGGGAGTTTTTGCGGTTTTCCTCCCCAAATAACGCAAATGCTGGTTGGTTCCATCAAAAAAATCCTCCACGAAGACAAATTTCTTACAATACTTGATCAAGGTGGTCCCTGGTCTTCTGTATCGGGTTCAAAATTACAAAGCTCCGGAGATAAACATTGATAGTCGTAAACCCAAAAGACACTTTTTCCTACTATAGATTAATTTGTAACTTTTGTAAATGTACAATTTTATCACTTAATTATAATGAATAATTCACTGAATATATAACTTAATTATAATAGTTTATAATTACAAAGAAAAATATTTATGATGGTAAAAAATTCTATTCAAGTACCCTTCTTCACAGTTTTATAATATATAAATATCTTATATTTTTGAGACAATTGGATTTTGTCGCGTGACCACAATCTGAAAGTACACACAAAAAATATACTTCAAAATACAAAAAAATTAAAATTAACTAAAGATGTCAATTAGATTTAATTGAATTTTTAAAAAAATCGTATTCGTGAATTTATTTTCTGTCAAGCAAACAACATATTTTCGGGTAAATATCGCATTTTCTGTCCTAGGATCTCAGCAGATTAAGCAAAATATTATTTCCGTGTCTCATTAAATTTACGAAATTTAAGCGTATACTGTAATTAACTTAAAAGAGCATTCGAGTTATGAGAGGTATTGCTTGCAATAACTTAGATATATTAAATTTAAGGAGAAAAAACATTTCTAGATTTGAATTTCAAAGTGATTACAACTGAAACTAGTGATTTAAGCCAATATAATTTTTTTTCAAAATTCTGTTACATTTCCAATAAAAACAATGTATACAAGAGCGGTTTATTAATATTTAGATGCAAATAAATATTTCTGAAATATTTCTTATGTATATCTTGTATTTAAAACGTGTGCCAGTTGAAGAAGAAAAACCTTGTTGAAGCACTAAAATGAATATAAATAATTAAATGAAATAGGTATTTGTAAATAGACTCGTTACCAGAATGAACAACAATCTCGGTTTCTCCTGTGGATGGATTCAGCCGGCAAGTTTCCCCTGCATCAATGTCCACAAAATAAAGGCGTTGGTTTCTGTTGTCCCAGTGGGGTCCTTCGCCCAAAGCGAAACGTTTTTTAGATACTCTAGAAACACTCATGCTTCGTGAATGGCAAAGATAACACTGAAGTCAGTTTGTAACAAGGATATTCTCCTACACTTTCATGACACGTGTCTGATAAGAAGTAGATAAAGAAGTTCTTGAATGCATACGATAAATGAATTATTGGATAAAAACGAGTTACAAAAAAGCAAACTCTTATTAGTATTAAAATAAAACTTTTTCAATAATATTTCTCTATATATCATGAAACGGAATGTCCTATATTATTATGCATTCCTATTTAAAAAAAATTATAATTTTATGTTCCCCAATAAATAAATAAAAATGTTTTAGATACATCTACCCATCATCATCATAAAATTAATATAAATTATAATTTTCCCCTTTTGGTTCTTACATCAAACCAAGTAGTTGCATCTCATTCATCATCAAAGATCAAGAGGAGAGAATGGCTTATTATTTGGCTGTTCTTTACAAAAAACTAATATTAGATTACCATCCGTTATATTTTTAGGACTACTAGTTTTTGGTTAATAACATGAAATAAATAGGTCCCTTTTCCTCGAGAGTTATTACTCAGTGAAGATGGGCTGGCACATCACTCGATCGTATTATAGAAAAACAGTTCCTGTCCATACGCAAATTGTTTTTTCTCAGAGTAAGCTTTCAAAGACAATAGTCGAAAAGATTTTGAATCGGATTCTGGTAACAAAACCTAAAAGATTAGTTGACATTTTACGCTTGCCCGGGCTCAAGCAAAAAGTCGTTGAATAAGATAACGATAACATANATTTTTGTTAAAATGTTTGAATTAAGTGAGACTTAAAGATACAACTAACTGAATATGATTACATAACATTTAATTACTCATTATTTTATCATAAATATGCTTTTGTTTTCTCGTTTGAACACTGACTTATAATATTATTTGAAAATTGTCATTTGTTTATTCAGTGTAAAAACAAATTATTAAATAATTACAATAAAATTTTAAGTTTTTGTTTGAATCATTATCACATTTATCACAAATTAATCTGTAATATATCTAGAAATAAATTTATATTTAATTTATACGAGGTGGGGGTCACAAAAAGATTTCATTACTCGTCCAAGATTTAACAAAATGATAAGTTCCAAAATTGATATTTTATTTAAACCGAACAAAAGGAATCTTTAAATTCTTAAACTAATTATGAATTATTGTTATCCCACCCAGTTTAGCTTAGCAAATATGAATAGGTAACATTGAAATTTTCTTTCATCTCGTTCAAATTCAATTTAACCTGAACACTAACAAGTCTTTTTCTCCGACTAAACGATTACAAAATTTCAGTAATAAATTTTATCAGATTGGCGCAACAAGCAGGAAATCCACTAAAAATTTTGGATTTGGGAATGGAGAATTTTTTTTCTTTTGGATTTTATTCTGATGTAACTTATCAGCATTTTACAATGCTTTTACAGAGTTATTTCTTCATTTCTCTATCTTATTTCAAATAGCAAACAGAAAGGCGCAAGAAATGAGACAAGAAACTAAAAACACTACATTCATTCGACTTTAAGACTTTTTATCTTATAATGAACAAAGATGGAGTTAAGCCTTGATTCAAAAAAAGAGTTTATAATTAATAACAGAAATGTATGATAATACAGTTTCAATTATTAAGTAATCTTTTCAACAAATACAGGCACCTTCGATAAAAAATTAATACAAATTGTTGACAGCATACATTTCTCTTCTGTGTATATACTTTTAGAATACAAGCGTTCAGCTTTATTCTAAAGTCAAGCATTAAAAGTATAAGGTTGAAGACCTCTACAGCCATGGTCAGTAACAGCAAATATTGCTCCTGCTTCTGGATTGGTTTTTCGGACTTCTTCTGTACGAGCTGCAGTTGTTACGTATAAGATGTCCAAGTTAGGTCCACCAAAGCAGCAGGAGGTAACCTTTACAACTGGTAAATCAACTCTTCTCAAAATTGTTTCTAAAAATATGATTTATTCAAAGATTATAAGAAACAAACTGTTACAAAGTAACAGAAAAAATTCGTATCAATTTAACACTGTAAAAGTAAAGCATTCCTTCAAAAATACGTTGTGAATATCATAATGTTAGGGCTCCGCAATTCTTTAACTAACGACATGATTGAATCAAATTTAATTTAATTAAATGTAGGGTTTAATGTCGCGAGTTCCACAAAAGGACATGCTGCACCATACAAATGATTCCAAATACAAAGGCATGATTGAAGCTTTGCACACAAATCGCATTTGCTTTGCAGTAATTTTAATGCTCGGTTTTTAAGCATCAAAATATTTAAGTATACACTTTATATTCTTTTGTTATGAATTCGCTTCTGTTGGTGAGTGATACGTAACCTTTAAGCCAAAGAACCATACTTATTGCTATATCGTGCCTAAATGTTGGCTAAAATCAGTATTACTTAGTTATAATGTGACATTTTATGGTTTTTTGTCGATTACATGTCAAATGAATACAATTTTTCTTCCATGCGGATGTTTTGTGAATCGAATAACAATATTCGATCATTTAAATGTTGAAATCATGTAATCCTTGTTAGATTTAATCAATTCGTATATACATTTAGAGTTAAAATGTAGAATCTATTTTTATTGTGTGTGACTATTAATGAATAAGAAGAACATTAAATCACTCATTTGAATAAGTTCTGTAACACGTTTTATAAAGATTTCTTTTTTGAACAATTTCCGTAACTTTTTCCGTCATGTTGAAAAAGAATTGTACGTTAATTTTAACCATGGAAAATTGCTAATCCATGAATGTGTTTTATCATATTTAAGTTTGAAAAAGCCAAAAGTTAAGAGGCCGGAAGAATAAAGCCAAATTTTTCTGAACAACTAACTTTATTTCTTCACTGCTTTTGTAAAGGTACACCAAAACGTACTAAAAATATATTGGTTTTATGAAGGATAAGTTGTTAGAAACTGTAGTATACTTACTTGTTGTCGGATCTATGCGAAGAACACATCCACCACCAGAAAAGCATACCCAGATTTTATTTTCTGTATCTATTGTCATACCATCTGGTAAACCAGCGATGTTTTCAAAGCCTTTTTCTTTGTTGCAATCAATTAATATTCTTTTGTTAGCTGAAAAGTTTAAGAGAATGAGTAAATACTAAATTTCTGAATGTTATCATGAAAAAAAAAGAAGAAAGGATAATAAAGTACTTTTTTTTTTCATTTTGCTACGTTCCTTTTTGATTAAAACACACGCATAAACCCTTCACAGATATTTTCATAAAAAAAATTGTTTAAAAAATTTTAATTTTCTTGCCCCATTTCGTGGAAATAACTCATTTGTATTTTATTATCCTTTTTCATAACTGATATATTGGAATTAAAGCCTACATATTACTCCCTCTTCTAAGTTAAAATCATAGGCGTATATTGTTCGACAGTCTGAGTCTATGTAGTACATAGTATCATTACTGCAATTCCATGTCAGTCCATTAGAAAGAGAAATTCCCTCATCAACTTGTGTCATTTTGTATGTGTTGTCCATCTTAAACAGATGTCCTTCTTTATGTAATGTTCCAACTACACCTGTTATCATTGTACCTATATGAATAAAAAGCTATTTAATATTAATTGCTAAAAGAATCAAGTGATGCACAAAAATAGCTTATTTTTAGACAGTAATCTGCTTAAATTTAATTTCGTGTTAGGTATAAAAATTGAAAGTTTTAAAAATTCGAAGAAAAAAATTACACATTATATTCTATGTAGTGAAAGTCTAATTAATTGATCAATAATTGATTACTGATAATTACTTGTTATGATGCTTAACACTAATTGTGCTCAGAATTCATGGTGTTACGTCCAATCATTTTTTTTTAAGTATACACTGATAGACCATATATTTATGACTGATTAACAGTTTTATGCAAGTGAATTGTTATTCACAGTGTCGCCGCAAGTGAATAAAATTGAATGTGGGTTTAAAAACATTTTGCAGCTAGGGTATACAATTGTACTGGTATACTTAAATTACTTGATTGAATGTGAGGTATAATACCACAACGCCCATAATATGGCACATTTCGCCAAATGAACAATTGATCATCTTTTAGGACCTTTATTTCATATGGAAGGTAGTCTGAAAAAATCATTTTATCTAAATATCCTACACAAGCACTTCCTTTAATATCGATGATTTAGTCTAATAGTGAGCAGTATTTTCAACGGAATTGTGCATCCCACCATACTACTAGCATATTTTGGACGAACAGGAGGGAGACTTCCGCACACTGCGTTGGCTTCCACAATCCCCGAATCAGAATCATAGAGAAGTTTTGGCTGATAAGTTTAAATGAGCAATAGAAAAACATATTTTAAATGTTTAAAACGAAAATAATTTTTTAAATTTTATAGGTATTACATTTTTTAATATGCATTTCTTTTCGTACAAAAATAAAATCAACATCAAAAATCTCTGAAGGACAGTAAAAAAAATAGTACAAGTGGGGTTGAGATATTTTAAAACAAAATATTTTTTTTTTAATGGAACACTTTAAATATAATATAATAGTAAACATAATTTAGCATAATTATAACTTAGTAAGAAATGGTTTAATAAAATATCTTAAAAACTTACCAGACCAAAGTCTTCCTTTAGCATCGCACTTGCCATCATTAAAACGAAACTTAGGATTTTTGTAATTAACTTTAGTAAGAAACTCTGTGTAACCAGTATCGAAATTCAGCTTCTTGATTTCTTGTGTCGAAGAAATAAGGAGATTAGACGGATCAGATTGATAAGGGATAGCAAAACCAATAATACCCTCTAAAATTGAAAAAAACATGCACAAATTTTGCAATTCAATTATAAATAAATTGTATTTTTCAATTGTAGGTAAATATTGCATAAGCGAATGCTAAAATCAAATTGCGTGTACGAATGCCGTTCCATTAAGAATAGATAAGCAAATATTCTTTTTATTAGACTCTTTCTCTCATTCATTAATTCGCATATCTTTTGATTCGCCTATCCACTGATACGCCTAGTTAATACACTGACACACTAGCAGACTATTTTTTCTAAAAATATTGACTCCATTTCTACCCTTACTTACTCACTATATCACGAAGTATTCATAGTATAGGTTATCATAACCACGCATACATATACACATTTCTCTCAAGTGACACCATAAACTCAAGTATTTCTCAACCTATTGGCAACACTACAGTTATTATTCATTTTTTTTTGGTTGTCTTGAGTAATAATTTAAGTAGTACTGAATAGTAATTAAGAGTTTATTTAACCTAATTTGGTATTTTCACAGAAATAAAAACTTAGTTATGAAGTGTATATTTATTTTTTATCCTTTTTAAAATAAAAGTATACACTTTAAATATAAACAGTGGTGCATATTACCATACCAATAATTAGCGACGGAGCAATGAGCAATGGCATATAGATGTTACACGATACTTAAGTTATGGCCCAGGAGATGGGGGAGGCAGTAGTACTGCATGTAAAGAAGTTTTTTGATGAGTTTTTCTATCTTATCTCGCGACAGAGATGAAAGTATTCGTATTACTTCTGCTGCATACTCTGCTTAAATATCCCGAACTCATACCTACAGTGATTTGTATGATTTAATAGCTACCAGACAGATTTTAAATTATTACTAAAATTCAATGCATAATGAACTTTGACAATATTACGGACATCTCTTGACAATTGAAATCGAAGTACTTGAGAGCGGGCAACAGCCCGACGTTAAAAAATTTTGGTCAATATATTGTTTAAAAATAATTAAGGTGGAGGAGGGGTTGACAAATGGCATAAAGCATTTGTCAACCCCTTCATTTAAATATTTATATAAATATTTTATATAAACATTTAAATACAGTTTTGTTGCACATTCGGCTTGATTACCATCAAAGTTTATATTAGCAAGATAATTTTGAAAGATTTCCACGCTGGTCACTGCGGTTAGTACATTTAATACGAAATCAATTTAAAATTAACCGTAGGCCCACGAAACAAATTAAACACATAAAAAGTTCTTAATGCATACATTTGGAGCCGTGGTGGCTCAGGGGATAGAGAGCTCGCCTGTAAATAAAGTGACTCGGGTTCGAATCCGACGGCTAGTCGATACGATGACTAATCGAAAGAAATTTTACGTTCGGTCCGCAACGATCACAGTGCTGGCGCAAAATACTTTAATTGGTTAACGGATCATGGGTAAGAGTCCCCTTGTGGGGAAAGGTAATATCGACAATGCCAACTTTCATCTATCAAAAGGTACCTCAAGATAAAATCAAGTTGGCATGTCTTATATACTAGTAAATTGATGTTTAATAGTCGTAGTGGTAGTTACGCCACAATACTCCCCCACCAGAATTTTATCAGGGATAGAATTCGATGAGCGGATGCCACTAGTTGCTGTATTTGTGAAAGACCGGGAGAGCTGGATTAAGGTCACCGGGTTTTGAGCTTTAGCCATGAGAGCTATATTAAATTCATGGTTGTGTGTGTAGTCACTCCTGTGTTGCTAGTAGCAGTGGAGTATGTGAAGAAACCAGTGTGTGTAAATGAGACTGAGCAGAAACAGAGCGAGGATGACGATGACGCAGTCACAATTAGCAAGTGAACTAGTCAATGTGAACCATTCATCGAAGTAGGCGTGATCATATCACGTCCGCAGGTCACCAATGTGGAGAAAGATGTTTAGACAATGCCAACTTTCATCTATCAGAAGATACCTCAGGATTGAATAAAGTGAGCATGTCTTATATACTAGTGAATTGATGTTCAATAGTCGTAGTGGTAGTTACGCTGCACCCTTGCCGATAGGCCAACCGTGGGAGGTTTTTCTGCTTTTTTTCTCCATGTAAAGCAAATATGGATTGGTTCCATCGAAATGTTCACCACGAAGGCAAATTTCTCCGATACTTGTTCAAGGGGTTCCCTTGAGATGAACATTGGTAATCGAATACCCAAAATTGAGTCGGCTATTCAACGACGGTTAAAAAGGAAACACAAACGCTTAAAAAAAACGAGTGCTCATCATATTTAGGGGAAAATATTTAATTTCATGGAAAGCCTAGAAAAATTTTATAAGTTGCAGATTACGCATAAGGTGTATTATGTCTCCCTATAAATGTTATATATATACCATTTTATGAATTACATTTCAGAAATTCAAAACTGAAGTGACCAACCAAGATATAAAATAGGAAGGGATTTTGTGATTTTATTGTTTTGTACCTTTGGCTTTATCTCCTCTACTTATTGCATAAACTCTATAGCATATAAAACACATAAAAACCATTCCCCCAAATAATGTTTCATGTTATGAACAATTTTTAATGATTGATTTGTTAGTTATTTGTTTTGATAACAATTGCAATTAATTTTGAATTAACATAATTTAGTTTTCATATTCAACTAGCTGGATACCGCTGGTTTATAACTATTATTAAAAATATTTATAGAGGTAGAAAATTCTATTCAAACATACTTCTTCACAGTTTTGTAATATATAAATATCTTATTTTTTGAGACAATTGGATTTTGTCCAGAAGTACACTAGAAAAAAAATCCTTCAAGCTGCAAAAAAAATGCTAAAAATTAAAATTTATTAAAAATTAAAATTAACTAAAAATGTTAATTAGGCTTAATTGTATTTTTTTTAAATCGTATTCAGGGGTCTATTTTCTGCTAACAAGCAACATCTTTTTGGGTAAAAATCGCATTTGCTGTCCTTATTAAAGCTCAGATTCGGATCTCAGCAGATTAAGTAAAAAAATATTTCAGAATCTCAATAAATTCACGAAATTTTAACATATACTGTAATAAACTTAAAAGAGCATTCGAATTATAAAAAGTATTGCTTTGCAATAACTTAGATATATTAAATTTAAGAAGAAAAAAAAGTTTCTAGATATGATTTTCAAAGTGATTACAACTGAAACTAGTGATTTAAGCCAAAACAATTTCTTGTTAAGAAAAATTCTGTTACATTTCCAATAAAAATAACTTATACAAGTATGGTTTATTAATATTTGTAAGCAAAAAGTTAATTTCTTCAAATCTGATATTTCCCGTATAAATCAGTTCTCCTTAAAAATGTATAACGCTTTCAAATAAATATATATA